TTGTAAGCCTCCAAATGTAAGCATCATGGGCATTCAGTGGAGGTGATCTCCACTGCTCTATTCCTCTTGCCTGGCAAACCAGCTAGACAGTCCTTGAGCTGTGGCACTTCAGATGGGGAGGGAAGGAGGCTGGAGTGCTGTCAGGACAGGTCATATCCTGCTTCCCAGTCTCCTCCCTGCCCCCTTTGCCATCTGCGAGGTTGTCCTTACAACCTTGGAGAAGCAGTCAGAGTGAAAGGAGCCATGCTGGCTGGGGAGGAGAGAAGCGGTGTCTGAGCATGGACCCCCTCTCTGAGGTCTCATTTTCTGACCTCAGGTCTGGGGATCCAAGGAATGTTCTGGTTCCTAGGTACTGGCAAGGGCTGCTCACTCTCCCCTTTGCACTACGCTCAGATGCAAGATTGATTTTTTTTTAGTTTTGTCACTTGTCTTCTCCCCCTCTGGGAGCCATTTATTCCGTTTTTTTCATACCTATATGAAAGTTTCCTTTTGAGGAATGCAGAATTTGGTGTGACACCAAGGTCATGTCTCAAAGCAAGCTGATTCCTCCTGCCCCCTCAAAAAACACAGCACAACACAACACAACATACTTTATGGAGATACTGGTCTCTCATCTGAATTTGTTTCAACCCCACTATAATTTCTCAGAGCTTTCAAAGGCCAAACTCCATGACAATTTTGTATAGTTCAGGGTGAGCAATGTGTGGCCCTCCAGAAGTTTTGGACTACGACTCCCATCTACTCTAGCCAGCATAGCTAGTGGTAAGGGATGATACAAGCTGTAGGACAAAACTTCTAGATGACCACAAGTTGCCATTCTGGTGTAGCTGAATCATGTATTTCTGCATGTGTACATGTGTCAAAGGCCACTTGACATACCTCTGGGATATTTTATGGAGCTGAGCCAGAACCTGGACTAATATGAGCAGCTGAGTCATAGGGACATTAGATCATGCCGGATGTGAGAGGGCCTCATGCCACTGTGGGAATATGGTGAGATTCCCCCGGTCTAGCTATGTGTAATTGGGATCAGATATTTGGGTACGACAGACAGTTCAGTGGATGCACTTAGCAGTGTGCCCGTTTAAGCTTGATAGCCAAGTGGAAAGCTTACTTTTAGGACTGGTGACCTGGTGAGAACATGCACACATGCTGTAATTCAGTACTGTAATCGCTAGGAAGCCCCCTGCATTCCTCTTGGTAGTACAGCGACTTGGCAGGGTTCAGCGGACTAAGAATAGAATCCTTCTTGGGAAAATAACGGATGGCTGCACAGTTTGGAAGTCTGTGCTTGCTTTGTTTTGCATACATGTTAGGCAAATAGAGCATTTAACCATTCATACAAAATGGTACCACTAAAAAAAGAGAGTAGCTCTTCCACTTTTCAGCACAAGATCACTAAATATATGTGGAACTGGACCTGAAATACTATCCAGTCTAAGTAGGGCTGGATGAGAAAAACAGCTTACCAAAATGAAACAGATTTCCTTGGATCTTTTTCCTGTTCCTGCTCCTCCTCTTCCTCTTCTTTATACAAAGAATTTGTTCAGTGTGGGATGTGAATATTATTGGATACAAATTTCTGTGGAAGGTAAGGGCAGTCCACAAAGGTATTTTTGAAAGGTAGCATTCTAAGGGTAACATGACCTTGACATTCACATGAAGAATTTATTTGCATGAAATTGTGGAGATTTCCAGAATGTAGGAAAGCCTTGAAAAGCAGTAAGGTAACATCTATGATTGTAACAATGAAACAATTTTAGATCAATATTGATCTCATTACTTGCTCTCCATGATTTGTCCTGTTATCTGAGCTATGGTAAACCAAGGTTTGTGCTAAATAGTTTTCGAACATCAAAGCCACAGCTTTTCTTGTCATCAGAACCTGCGGATCACAGTCGGTTGTTGGATTATATGATGATGATGACAACGACAGCATTGCATTATATATCCCAGCTTTCTTCCTCTTGCAAGGAACCCAAGGCTCCTTGGGTTGGTTTTCCTCCTCTCCATTTTTACCATCACAACAACAACCCTGCATGGTAGGAGAGGTTGAGAGGCAGTGGCTGGCTCAAAGTTCCCAAGGAGCTTCATGGTGGAGTGGAAACTAGAACTCAGATTTCCAGATTTCAGCACTCTTAACCACTACACTACACTGGATTTTTTTATGGGTTAGCCATAGTTCTTGAGTTCACATGACATGACAAATAATGTCATATTCTTGAGCGTTCAAAATAATCACCAGTATACCTCCCCTCCCAGTGGGCTGTTCAATCATGCAAACCAGGCCAATGTGAAACTCGAAGTTGTTCCAGGAAGTTATGTGACCTGGTTCACATGAACAACAAGCTACCATGGGTGATCAGCCGTGATAGGTTGGTTTTCATGCCATACGAACCCTGCAAGATTCCTGCAGGTAGGCTTATTTTTCATATCCTGGGTACCCTTGGTTTGTTTTAGGGTATTCATACTGATGGCGGCTTTCCATGTCAACTGACTTGTAGAGTGAAGCATACTGTAAAAGGACATGCTCAGAAATGAAGGATAAAATTGACTAGGACATTGACAAGAAAGGGGTGTCAGTGTACTGGACTAAATACAGTAACAGTAAAATGCTTCCTTCTAACTTTCCCTGTGTCTTCTCCAGTGAGTCTTGCCTTGTCATGATGTGACCCAAGTATGACAGCCTCAGTTTCATCATTTTGGCATGCAAATGAAGGGAATGGAATGCCTTTGGAGTCACTGTTTTATTTCAAACATATTGTAGTGTCTTTTTCCCTCAGTTGATATTTTTCTGCATTAGAATTCAATTATCTCCTTATTTGAATGTAATTAGACCAGGCAGCATTTGTGCCTAATGTTCAACCATGATTTAGTGCTATGTGAATGGCCAGAAATGAGCCTGCCCAGAGTACTGGGGTCATGAGTCCCCCACCATGTCTTCCCTCCTCAGGCATGTGGGGAATAAGCCAGAATTTGGTTTTGCTTTGACAGAATCCTGGCTTGTCATTATGCCCAAAGCAGGAACCATTAGTCCCATACTAAGGCACTCTCTCTCTCTCTCTCGTTCTGTGTGTGCGTGCATGTTCTCCTACGTGAGAATTATGCCACACTGCAGGAAAGTGGCACAGATTTAAATTGTTCTTTGCAGTGTTAGGGTATCTGAGAGATCTGAAAGTGGGGAAGATTTATGGCACTTCTGAAAGAGGCTTATCCATACAAAAGCCTAGTATGAGATGCCCTGAATTAAATATGCTATAAAAATGTTATCTTTTCTTTATTACTTTAATGATAGCTAGACACTGCATTGTTATCTGAAAGTGAACTCATGTTTACAGTAGTAACATAACATTTTTAAGATAACATGTATTACTCACTCATATCTTACACTTTAAACACTGAACTTTGAGGCATGGTACCATGGAATTCAAGTCCACTTCCACTTACTATCTTGAGAGTGAATTTGGAATGGGTCTACACCCAAAAGAGGAAATCTGTTAAGCAAACAATGCAGGTGATTTCTAATAGGCGCCGATAAGCATTTCTCATGATTTCATGGCTTGTATTTGGTCTTTGCATGGGCTGGGGAAACCTCACAATGGAATTCCCCAGTGCAATGGGCCTTTCCATTCCCCTCCACCCTGCAGCCCTCTGTGCCAGACAGAAGTCTCCTTTGGCGGGTTTCCCTCCCCTCTGGAGCAAATCTGGAGGATGCACCAGAGATTGGTAGAATCACCCTCTTCCCAGTTCTGCTAGGCCTAATCCTGAAGCATGCAGTCTGAGTGAGTGCCTTCCTCCTGTTTTGCTACTTGTCTGGGGAGGGTAGCAGCCCAGAACGGCATGAACCAGCTTTGACTATAAGGCAGGCTCCCACCAGCACTTCTTATCCAAGGCCCAACCATTGTCAGCTCTACAGTGGCTATTGCACAGGGCCTTGAACCTTCCTTAAAAGCATTTTGTAAATTTTAACTTGTGAAGAATAACATAACAAACAGGAAGCATATCATTCTGACTTCGGCCTCTCAGCACTAGATTCGAGTTAGGTTCCAGATGGCATTCCCGCTTTGGATTCTTTCCTAGACCCTGGCTCCCAGTGCAATGTCAGCATTTAGAATTGTGTGACCTGAGAGAGGAGAGAAGGGCTTTCCCCACGGTGAGGCCATCCTCTTGGAATTCCTTTTCAGGGGGCATTGGCTGGCCACCTCCCTGTACGACTTCCACAGACAATATGTATTTTTTTCCTCAAACCTTTACTGGTTACTGCTTTATTTGCTTTGCCCTTAAACTAAAAATGGGCTATTTTATAACTTTCTAGTGCTGTACACAGACTGACTGTTTTATTTTATTATATTTCATTTCTAAATGAGTGTTTGACTTAAGTCTCCTTAAGAACCTGATTCTCACCTGTTCTGTGAACACATATTACAGAGAGAAAAGCCTTCACTGACTGTAAGTTGCAGTTGAGCTATAATTACAGCATGAACCATAGCACAGGGCTGCCAAAACATTGGACAGCTTCTGTAGAGTTCTAGAAATCATGCATACATGTATGTGTTTGTTAAAGTGTTTGGTGTCCATTGAAGAGCTGGAGATCCTAGAAAACAGAAAGGGAAAATAAGGATTTGGTCAGTATTGTTCTATTCATGCCTAGTGGACCAAGGCCCTGTTTCATATAAACCTAATTCCCATTTTTTTGTCTTTATCTTAGCTGCTCCTGTTAGCATAAAATAAACAAGCATATAAATTTTTGCACATTTTGTGTGAATTATGTAAGTGTGCAATCCTGTGCACGTTTAGACAGAAAAAAGTCCTAAAATTCCCAGCAGTCCTCAGCCAGCATGACAGTAGAAAGGCAACCAACAAATCCCACCAGAACAACTACCTTCCTGTCCATCATCTCATATAAGTGCTCTCCTCTAGTTTTAGAAGTTGATTTCAGTATGTATTGCCTACTCTTGCTATTTGAACATAAAGTAAAGAGCTGATTTGTTTTTCTTCAGGATCGGAGACGAGAATTTGAGAACAATCTAGCAAAGGCAGGTCTGGAACTAGAAACGGAAGACAAAAAGGTAAATAAGAATAAGAGGCTGCTACTTTTTCCAGTGTATAATCACACAGGGCAGAGATGAAGAACTCGGGTTGAAGCAGAATTCACCTTCAGTGTATTTGCTGTCTGTTAGTAGTAGTAGTAGTACTTAATACTGCTTGGATGTAGTAATGTTATTTCTTCAACACCATGCTAGACACTGATAAAAATAAGCACAAACACATTCCCTTCCTAGATGGGGTTACAATCTGTAGTTGCAATCCAAAACTTGGTTACAGCTCACAGCACTGAGAAGTGGTATGTTGATACCCCTATTCTTTCCTGCACTGGGAATTCCAGGGCTTAGATGAGATGAAGAGACTGTACTGCACAGCTGTTGTGCTTTGGCTAACTGGAAGAAGAACCACAAAAGGCACAGTCAGTACTGTCAGCCTGGAGAGTTTCACTTCCTCATCTGGAGATGTGACAACTGCTCCCATCATTCAGGCTGCATGGTCTCCTGGTCTCAGATAGCCATGGAGTTTGCTTGGACTCGGTGTCCTTCATGGGTGTGTGAGCATGTTGAGAAGGAAGGATTCCAGCTTAGTTCTCATCAGTGAGAATGTTGCTTAGGCCCATGCTAAAGGAACAGGAAGATTAAAGAAGAATTCACTAAGATGAGCAGATGCAGAAAAATGCAGGGCATGCTGACTGTGGAAAGTTTGTGTAGAAGTACAGTTTTTCAAACTGCAGTATTTGCAGAGCAATCTTTGTTTGGTATTTCCTGCCTTTTGCTCCAAACGCCTTCTGTCTGGTACTAAATACGGATAAATTTACTACTGCATACATTTTCTTGTATATTAGGTCTTTTACCATTTATCAACCTAGCAAATAGCAATGGACCATTTTGTTCTTAAAGGGAAGTGGTGACAATTCATTCTCCAGTTAAAAAGAAGAGGTCCCAAAACAGCTGAATGTAATCCCACTTGCAGATTGCAGGTGCAATGAAAAGGAGATAGTCCTAGGTCACACTCCCTATGGAAAACCATTTCTCCTGAGACTTAGCCCATAATCTGGCATTGTAGCTGGAAAAGATAGAATTTTAGGGCCCCTTTTGACTCATACAAATAGAACATAGAGCTCTTCTCTGAGCAGCTATATTTTCCTGGTCTTGATTGTTCTTCGAGTAGGCTGAAGAAAGCTAGTCATAATTAACTTCCACTGGAATTAATTGGAGAAGTTAGTCTCATGTTATTGATTTCAGTGGAATTTAAATGTGCCAAACCTTTCTACTCCAGGGCCTCCTTTCTGCTAAAAGAACAATGAACTGGATAATTCTCTAAAGAACAATGAGTTGAATAGCTGCTCCGGGGATGCCCTACACAGTGCCGTGTGGAGGGTAGACACCTGTTCTGCTTCTCTGGTCACCACATGCAAAGTGTGCTGTATGGGGGAAGCCACAAGAAGCCCCATTTCTCACATGTGGTGAGAACAGCAAACAAACAAACGAAGCTTTGTTAACCCTACAAGGTTTGTCATACGTCTGGGGGACGGGGAAACTGCCTACTTTAACACCTTGGTATTTTGATTTATAGGATTCTGAAAATGGCAAGACGTACTTTGTGAAGATCCATGCACCATGGGAGGTTCTGATCACGTATGCCGAAGTGCTGAACATCAAAGTGCCCATCAAGGAAAACGATATCCCTTGCCTCACAGAGAACCCCCTGGAGTGTCTGTTTGAGCCCTTTCGGCTGCCAGAGATCGTGATGCACCCGGAACCAGACTACTTTACAGCCCCCTTTAGCAAGGAAAGGCAGGAACTCTACCTCATTGATGATGAGAGTACTTTCTTCTCCCCTTCAGTCAGAAACAGAATTGTGAGTGCTTCTGTCTTTCTGTCCTAACACGTGTGCATACACAGTATTGATAACCGCAGTGGATACATGGAGTCCCAGGAAGTTTGCACTTTTCTGCACCTTTCCTAGAAAAATGTTACCGGTTATCATCCCCATGAAGAGGTGAGGCTGAGAGCTCATTTGGCCCCCTAGACTCTTCAGGGAATGTACCGAACAATAGCACTGCGGGAGTCACTCTCTCCTTCTCTTAGTAGTTGGAATGATGAAGTCTTTCTTAAGGCAATTTATGTTTCCAAAGTCAGTCTTAACACTTGTCAATTCAAGTTTCTTTTAGAAGTTTTCCAGTTTTGAGAAATTTGCTTTATTTTGGTGGAGGTGATGGGGTATATCCTTTGAAACCACAAGTAGCTTTTGAAGCTTTAATCTAATAAATGGAGATGCTAAGCAACTAAAACTTGCAGTGCAGGTTTAATAAACATCCCAATATATCTGTCAAGCCACTGGCTTTGTGAAACTGGCATTTTCTTTGCTCCCCAAAGTACCTTTGTTTCAGCAAGGAAATAGCTATATCCAACACATCCCTGCTGAACCCTGCCTTCACATATTTCTTTTACTCTTGCAATTATTGATAAACTAAGACTGAAAATAAAGGGATGAGAAAACCACCATTGGTTGTCTGAGATGTGACCAGTAAAATCCAAAAGACCTAATCTCTCTACCCTCCTACAGGTATCTCTAGCTAAAGTCTTAACCTGGTTCCATCACTGCCATCTTTTCGACTTCAGGTTCAGTCTTTCTTTATTCCAAGGAATTTGAAGGCATCAAATGTGAGGCTGTCACAAATGATTTACAGGACAATGGCATTTTGGAGTATGCTTCTTTTTAAGCTGCTATAAATGTTGCACATTTGATTTTTGTTATAATTTGTCTCGGGTCTTTTCCCTCCCTAGAAGTGGATTTAATAAACAAAAACCAGGTGAACAATCATGAGTCAATCCAGCAGATGGGGCTTCATGTACAACGACTCATATAATGACATTGCCTTCATTACATTACAAGGCAAAATGGATAAGCTTATTTATAAGCTAAATCCCCAGTGAGTGGCTGTCTGGGAGAAGGCTCTGGTCTGTCCCCACCACTTTTACTTTCCTACCCGAAGCTGAACTGTAGAATTTCAGCTTTCAGAGAAGGGCTCAGCATGTGTGCTTTGTTGGGCCAAACTCAGCAACAATCTCAGGAATGAAAGTCTGCACTCAGAATTTCATAAAATGAAAGATGACTTTGACTTAAGACATGCATAAATCAAAACAATTGCTTCCATCTGGGATTCAGAGGTATTTGAGCATGTCAGTGTGATGGATTAGTTAATTAGTTTAAAGGTCAAATGAAATACCTTAATTGGCTGATAGCACTATTTGTAGAAAGTGAAGAAGAGCAGAACACCATTTTGTATTTACAGGATGTACTGAAATATCCAACATTTGGAAAAGGAAGTAATTTTAAACTCTGCCATTGGCTTCACCCCACTCCCTTTAGGTTTTCTACATTTTAACAAGGTGTCCATATGGAACAGAAGAAGGGAAAAAGAAGTTTGGGATTAAAAGGCTGATAAATAATGGCAGCTACTCTGCTGCATACCCTCTTCATGATGTAAGTACCTTAGTCTCTCATTCCTTTGGAAAACAGGTAGAATGAATGAGGAATTGCCTTCTCTGTTTTTAAATCACACCTTGATGTTCTTTGTTTTCTAGTAGACATAGTGACTGTAATTCTCTGTAATTGTGATGATCACCATAGAAATTGCTTGCAGCACATCTAAGTGAAGGCATTTATCTGAGCTACGACAACCACTGTGCAAGCCAGAGAAGTGAAAAGCAGAGAAGGAAGGTTAATTAAGCTGTGCTATAAAACTGGTCTGACATTGTAGGATTAGCGTTTGAGGTCACAGTGCCCCTCGTGGCAGTCAAGCAAGTGCATCTTTGGAGCGTGTAATGGATTTTCCTTTTCACTGTGCATATGAAGGAGGGAACAAGCCATTCTCCAGATGTTGCTCTGATCAACCCTAGCCGACATAGCTAATTCTTGTTAGAAACTACATTTGGGAACTGAAGTACATTTAATTCTCTGAAGTACATTTTAAAAAGTAGTTGTTCAAGAATTTGAAACAGGGCTCGTGCCTTCATTGTTTTATTTTCAGTCCCTTAGCAGGACAGTCTTGTGGGGCTTCCCAGGACACTCCAAACTGGGAGAATTATGCGCCTTCTATGATGGACTGCAGAGGCAAAGAGCGCCTTACCATTTTTCCCACCCTGCAAAGCACTCAGCTGGTTTTGGCAGTGCTTCAGAGCAGGCGGGAAGGAAGCTCAGGTGCCACAGTGGTTTGCTGTCTCTTGACTGCACCATCCTGCTCCCTTCCCTGCCCCACAAACACCTTGAAACTTTGGAGAAGCAGCTCACACGGTTCCTTCCAAACCAGCTGCAAGGTGGTGGAGAGGAGAGTACAAGTACAGGTCCCCACCTATGAGGTTTGTGTGATTTTCCACCCTTCTAGCTGGGATTCCAAAAAAATCCTGTGGCCATCTAGACAAGGTCGACCATCCACGGATTGCACTCTGCTTCAAGAAGCTCCTTTTCCCAACTGGTCTCCCTATCAGTAATTTGAGCTGCAACTCAAATTGCACTGGAGAGCCAGTGTGGTGTAGTGGTTAAGAGCATGGGACTGGGACTCAGACGACCTGGGTTCTAGTCCCCGCTCAGCCATGGAGCCCACTGGGTGACTTTGGGCCAGTCACAGACTCTCAGCCCAACCTACCTCACGGGGTTGTTGTTGTGGGGATAAGATGGAGGAGGAGAATGATGTAAGCTGCCTTGAGCCCTTTGTAGGAAAAAGGCAGGATATAAATCGGAAAAAAAAAAGAAAAAAAATTAACTCTTATCATCCTGCCCAGGAGCACATTTTAGCCCAAGGTGTATGGTGGGCATCAAGCTGGGAAAGGAATATGTAATGTGGCGCTACTTAAGTTGGGCAGAGAAACTGTTCCCTGGGATGAAATGTGCTCTTGATGTCCACACTGTGACTCAGCAAACATTCAAACACAACACATGCATACATGAGGCATAGAGTGATGCAATGAAATCTGCATGCATTGTCCTGAGATACATTTTTAAAAATAATAATTTTGCAGCTCATATGTCAGTTATTGATCTGTTATTTCTTTTATTCAATTATCCCCGCTGATACAGTGCCAGTACTGGAAGAAGGCAAATGATCCGAAATGTGAAAATGAAAGGTACACACTGTACAGGGAGTGGGCGAGGTTTCCTCGGTTTTTTAAAGAACAGCCTTTAGATCTTATCAGGTGAGTGCTTAGTCTGACTGTGTTAATGAAAGCTGAGGATTTTGTGCTGCACTACGGTGTTATGTCTATTCATTCTGTAAATGTTTCCTTAAGGCAAGATAGCTTCATATACTTTGAAATACCCTAATAATTTATTTGGGATTACATTATTTGAAGAACTGAATGCACTCTAGTTCAAATCATTTCAATTCTGAACAGCACTGGAGCCATCAAAAATACATTCAATTTTTATGAAGTGGGAGCAGGGCAGGGAAGCATTTTGCATGAGGTTTGGATCATCCTGCAAGACAAATAGCTACGTTCTCTCTGCTCCAGAGTTGAGCATACTTCAAGCTTGGGGTCTGCTTTGTTTCGCACTGGATCCCAAGAGTGCCAGACTAGAAGCAGGTACAAAATAAATGATTTGCTGTACACCTATTCACCCTGAAACATTATCCTGTTATCTGTTATTCCCAGATATTGACCCTTTAATGTCAAACAGTGTTGTTTCTTTCTCCCAGTCCTGAGACTGTTTCAGAGTTGACTCTGCCAACACTTCCATGGTTTCATGCTAGCTTCTCTAAGTTTTAAACTTAAAAACAAGAAGGGAAGGATTTTCTTGTTTCCTATCTGGTCTGTCAGCAATGCATGAGCAAAGCTAATTGTAAAGCTAGTTGTAATATTTAGGTTACAATTGTTTTGCTCAGTCAACATGGAGTTCTGACTTTTACTATTTGTGATCCTTATCCATAAATATTGTTTTGAAGTAAACATAGTGAAATCCCTGTGGATTTTGACCAATAACCTTCTATCCTTAATTGCAATTAACTCTTTGCAGTTTTGCTTCTGCCCCCTCCTGCCCCTACTCGCACCCTTTTAAAAGATGCTGTCTCTTGTGTTTCCTTTCCTCACTGCATTGCTTTTTCTGCAGGAAGTATTATGGAGAAAGGATTGGAATTTATTTTGCCTGGCTGGGTTTCTACACTGAGATGCTGTTTTTTGCCGCTCTCATTGGTTTAATTTGTTTTTTGTATGGCGCATTCACAATGAATGAAAATATGAGTAGGTAAGTGTAATTGAAATAGCACTGTTGACTGAAGTTAATTTGTAATCGTGGTGGATGAAAGATGTCCTGTCTGCTCCCATGCCTGGATGTGGATTCATTTTGTAACTGCTTTTTTTCCCTTTTGGAAATTTGTACACTGTGATCTTATGAGCTACTTTGCAAGCACGTTAGGTCAAAACTAAGTGTTCAGTACTAATTATGGGCAGAACACTGCCTGTCATTTTGTACTGAAAGAGACAGGATGGTCATTCATATTTCTAAGTAAAGTTAAATACTAGTCTTTGTACAAAAGCACTCACTTAAACATAGTGCACTCTTATTTGTCCTTTTCAGCCAAGAAATATGTGACTCAGATATTGGGGGAAATATTATTATGTGCCCATTATGTGATCGAAAATGTGATTACTGGAGGCTGAACTCCACTTGTGAGTCTTCACAGGTCTGTAGCAACTTGTATAATTTCCATTAAACTTGGCTTTCAGATATTGCTTAATGCTAATTATGATTTATATTTCTGTTTCAGTACTCTCATTTGTTTGACAATGTGGCAACCCTCTTTTTTGCAATTTTTATGGGCATCTGGGGTGAGTATACATTTTGCCCTGCTAGATTAGCATCTTTTGCATTTGTGGAAGAGAAGCTCTTTGTAGCCTTAATAGAGTATTGTAAACATAATTATGAATGTTACATAGTGTAGCGTCAGTAAGATATATATAGGCACAACCATACAATGGCTTAGACTCATGCCAAGTTAATCCTGGTTATTCCCTTTGAAATTAATGGGACTAGTTAGTCATGGCTAAGCCAAATCATATTGATTTTAGTGGGACTAAACATTACATAGAAACCATTAAAAATCCATGGTGTAAGATAATCCCAATAAACTTGCATATGTGCAACGATGACTCTGAGTCAATTTATCTAGGGACCAAGTATTCTAGATAAAATTGGGACTTCCAAATAAAGTAATGAGTAATGACATTGTTCAAGGAAATTTAAAATCAAGAATAATTTGTTTTTGAATGCATCTGTTACACTGAATTAACATATAATCAGATAACATAATTTCCAATATATTTTCAGTTCACAGTCAGCTGACAAATAATGTTCCTACTCTTATTAGTTCCTGTTTACTTAATTCTCTCTGATTGCAGTAACACTTTTCTTGGAGTTCTGGAAGCGGCGGCAAGCTCGACTCGAATATGAGTGGGATTTAGTTGATTTTGAGGAAGAACAGCAGCAGCTCCAACTACGGCCAGAGTATGAAGCAAAATGTACCCAAAAGAGAAAGAATCCAATAACACAGGTAATTGGGAGAGAAAAAAAATGTTGGAAGATGAACACCACTTAGAAGTTGGTAGTTCTTAATGGCATAGTTATAAGGCCCAGCATATAGTATTTATAGTCTTAAGTGTTTGGGATGCAATTCTGACAGAACAACTTTATAGAAGCATGTTGTTCTGCAAAGGTTCTTGGACAATGCCATTCTGTGATTATTTAAGAACAAGGTGCAACCCAAATATCTGCCTTCAGGATTCACACCTGAGATTGTAATGCCATCTCTGAAAAGCATCAGCTGTCATTCCACTAAAACAAGGGTGGACGGCCAGGGGCCTATACAGGACAGTCCACCTTGGCCATTTTTGTGACATCAGTTGCTAAATTTGCCACCAGCATTTGTTTACTTCTCGGATTTTCCCTTCCTGTCAATAGAGCAAATTGTGGTTTGCCATCAGAATTGGGCAGTGCAGTACAGACAAGAAAGTTAAGAGAAAATGGGCCCTTATTTTCTACTGAGCCACTGTTGAATTTTGGCAGTAAAGTTAGTGGCAAGGCAAGGTGGCGGCCCTTGAACCTCCAAAAATTGTTCATATGTGTAGTAGAGAAATACAGTACTTTAAAAGAACAAATGTATTTGATTTGTTCTTTTTTAATAACTTCTGAAAGAAGCATCCATCACTACTGTCATTGAGGTATATATATTTGAGAATACAGATTAGGAGTTGCAGAATGGAATGTTGACCCCAACACCAGAAGAGAAACTGAACACAAAGAGCTAGCCTTCTGCCTAGTTCTTTCCCTTATAGGTTGCTTTGACATGTGCAGCATTTCTGATATGGAGCAGGGATATAATTGGACAGATGGAATGGCACAGTACCAGACCCTCGGCCCAACCTACAGGGCTGTTGTTGTGGGGATAAGATTAGGAGCAGCACCAGGAGAAAGATGTAAGCCACTTTGTTGTAAGAAAAAAGGCAGTATATAAATCTAATCAATAAAGTATCTTCCTTAGTGAAGGCACTTTCTGTATTTGCAGAGGAAAAGGCCTCTCCTTGCTCTGTGATTTTTATAATTTTTATACCTCTTTGTTGTTTTTGCTGTTTCTGCACTACCTAGTAGCTGAAGCCTTCCTGGTGGTTTATAGCAACATATGCACACACATGAATAAAATATAAAATGCAGGCAACATGGTTTCTTCTAACCGTTGTTTGAGTTTCATTGTAATTCATATCAGTGTGGTTAACTTTATTTATGCCTCTTTATTCATATCAGCATGGATAACTATTTATGCCTCTTTATCTCACCTTGGAATCCATTCAGGTGAAAAGGCAGTTTAGAAATATTTCACATACAAGAAAAGAAAACATGGCAGATAAAACACATAAAATCAACAATGCATCTGAAAATGACAGCTAGCTGTACAAAGTGCGCTCTCAGTGGCCATTATACTTTTCTTGAATGCACACACCAGCTGCAGCAACTGGAAGACAAATTACAGTTTTTGGGCAAACAAATATGAGGCTGTCTTGCAAAGAGCTGGATGCAAAGGGCATGTCAGAGAACAAAAGGAGTGAAGGTGCCAGGCCCATTTTCTGAAATGAAAGTCATAGATGCTTGAACAGGATAAGACGACTTGGACACAAATGTACACAACACTTTTTGTATTGATATAAACAAGCTGTTCCAAGGTGTCTGGGTATTCCTTGATTTTCCGGCATTCTGGATCACAGCGTGAGCCCCACAGAAATTCTTCTCTTTACAAAGACACCTCCACATGTGTTGGTTGATCTGATGGCAGCAGAAAGAGGGGCTAATATATTTAATGTCCTGATTATCCATAGTTACAGTACCCTTGAATTAGGGTTCTGTTAATAGGTAATTCTTAGGTCCATTACAAAATAGAACCTTTGAAGAGCTAAATTGTTAAATACCAGCAGGCGTACAGACAATCTTGGAGACTCTTTTGCAGTAAGATTAAAATGAATTTCTAATATATACTTGTGCAACTGGATTTCCTTTAGAGTCTTGGAAAAAGCTTTAAGGTTGTGAAAGCTGATTACTACATTTTCCTGGTTTGAATGAAACAAGACACTATGGTTAATTGGTGCCTTTCTGGTTGATTGCTACATGCTACAATAGGAAGGCTGATGAGACTGTGCATATCTTGACTTCATAAGCCAAGATAACGATGGTCTGAATCAGACCAGAGTGGCGCTACTGCCAGGAATTGTTGAACAGCGAGATCTTGTCCATTCTTTAATTTTTACTTTTAAAACTGTCTGGTCTGATATTTTAGGAATTAGAATTGGTTAAGAGGAAGAGCGTTCATGACTATGGGAAACTGAGCTTGTTGTACTTTGGAATATTGTTTTGGGTAAGGCAGAGCTGCACGGTTCTTGCAGCTTAGAGTGGCAACTAATTAAAGGAGCCATTTCTTCAAGTGGGAAATTTAAAAAAAAATCAAGAGCATGGAGGATAATGTTGGATTGGAACAGTTAGTCCAGTCCAATCCAAGCATACAAGTTTTTGTTGTAACACAGTTTGGGATGAAGAGTATTGAAAATTGGGGGGTGGGGGGGAGAACTGCCTCCAAATTCCAGGAGATTCCTTCTGTTCACGAGATTCCTGGGGAGGAAAACACAGTAGATTTTTGACAACCTTGCAAATGGGCAAAGTCTTTAAAGTTTGTGAGTTTTTTGGCTTTCCACCATAAATATTGTTCCTTATGACCTCCATCCCTGTTTTTCTCCCATAAGAGGAAATGTGCCACATAATGCATTCTTTGGGGGTGGGGGTATAAACTTTTCCCTGGGGTGTGTTTGCTTTCTCACCGTGGTTGAGGTTGCTTTCTGCAGTGCTCTGTGTAAAAGTAAGACTGCGGGTGGTGAAATTTGCTGTGCTTGCTTGACTGTTTCAGGAGTTGGAACCTTATTTGCCTCTAACTAGCCAGGCTGTACGATTCTGTATCTCGGGAACGACGGTGTTGTTCTGGGTGAGCATCCTTTTGAATCATCACTTTAACACACAGAAGAATTAACTGATCGCCTTTTATGCTTGGATTTTAACAGGGTTCCATGCTTTCGCTTTGGGCCTCTTTCTCTCTGTGCTTCTTGTTACAAGGGCCTCTGACTAACCTTTTCCTACCTGTTTGCATGCTATCATGCAAAGTACACATGAAACAATATAATGTATAATCTACAGACCACTTTGCCAGATCAGTCCTCTTGATGACAACTTCCTCTTCCTCTTTTTAAATAACAGCTTGCACATTGTCAGTGATGATAAATTTAAGGATTGAGGCTGCAGTCCTGTGCCTACTCCCTTGGGAGTAGTAACACCATTAAATTCAGTAGGAATGACTTTTGAGTAAAGAAGCATAATGATCCATTATTTGGAGAACCAGTTCAAACTCCAGGATTCTCAGGTCTGCTATTGTGATGAGAAATTATGCCCGGCACTTCAAACCTGGCTGTATTTATTTCTTACAAACCTGTATTCTGGATAGCAGTTAATTCTTCAGAAATCCAACATGAATTTTTGCCAGAATATTTTTAGTTGCTCAAAAGCCTATTTTATTTATTTAAAAAAAGCTATACCATCTGTTATTTTCATGGACAATCTTGAGATGGTTTACAATTTTAAATTGTTAATTGTAAAGTCTACTGCTAAAACCACTAGTGACTTAACTTAAGAACAATCTTACTGAGCTTAATGCTCTGGAGAAATTGGGTTGAGAAATTTGTAAATTGAGCAATTTACAATTCAGTCAATTCAACGTATTTAGACTGTGGATGTACCCATACTGTTAAATTGCTACTCTACCTGCAGAGTGAATTCATTTTATCTGTACTACAGAACTCTGTAATAGCATTCCACTGGTGTGCTTTGCATGAATTTGCACGGTTCCTTGTGATCTGTCTAAACATTCAGAGTAAACCAGTGTTGTATCTCTGTTGGGACTATACCACTTTGAAAGGAACATAGGAGGCTATATTTTTAAATGCTTTTCTGTGCTGGAAGGAGGGAGGGTGGGATGGAAGGAAGGAAGGTCTTTTTACTTAGAAATCGGGGGGTGGGGGGGAGGTATGGCCTGGTTCTCTCCCTGTTGTTCAGTTTGCAGAGGGTACAGGCACGTGCACTGAAAAAGCATTCAGTCACACAGCCCACCCTTGCTTACATTCTGAAGTGTTATGGTCCTAACAGGTCATCAGAATGTGTAGTTTGGCTCTAAGAGCCTTGTAGAATCAAATGCTGTACATTCTGTTGTTATGAATGACCAGTGGCTGGAGGGTATCAGATAGTAATGTTCTTACATCTCTATGGTCTTGTCCCAGATCTCTTTGATCATAGCAAGTATGATAGCCGTGATAGTTTACCGCCTTGCAGTCTATGCTGCTTTTGCCAGCATCATGGAGAACACGCAAACCCTGCGGCCCATTCAGAGTTTACTGACGCCACAGCTGGCAACATCGGTCACTGCATCATGCCTGAATTTCGTCATCATTATGATACTGAATTTCTTATACGAGCGGATAGCCATCTGGATCACAGATATGGGTAGGTATGTTGCACAAAGGCTGAACTGGCAGGGATGTGGTTCAGTCTCTGTGGTGCACATGCGGAATGCATTGTCCTCCAGAAGCAGCACCTAGATGCAGTTTTCCATCTCGAGGAGCCCTGTTTAGAGCTCCCGGACCACCTGTCTTAACAAGTGAATGGGGCTGTGCTGCTTCGTTCTGTCCCAAACTCTTGTGTGTGACCCCCAAGCATCCATAAGTGCAGCGTCTGCAGGGAGGGGCTCTCCACACGTGCAGCTATATGTGTTTTGGCCATTATGTGGTACAGAAGCCCACTCTAATGGGGCTCCACATCTTGGGGATGCCTACGCACGTGTTCTCCCTGCAGAGATCTACACTGTACAGTGAGGAAATCTACAGATGTTGCATGACATCTGGGCTAGGGCTCTGCAGTGTGACCCCACTCAGTTTGGGAATTTTTGAATGGCTAACCAGGGTTATGGATGGCTAGCATCCCTAGGAAATGCTTTTGGTGGGCTTTCTCTCTATCAGCCTTTGCTATCATGATGCCCTTCAGGCATTTGGACTTCAGCTCCCATTATCCCCAGCTAGCGAGGCCAATGAGTATGGGAGTTGTATTCTGAAACCTCTGGAGAGTGCCACATTGGGAGAGGCTGCAACATACCATGTGGCTTTGCTCCTAATCCATTCATAGTGACATTTCAGCTATGTGATCTTACACATATCCTTGCAGTGGGTTCAACCATACCAATAACTGTTTACTTACAGAGGAACATTTGTGTGAGTGTGTGCTACAGCTTGCTGTAAACCTACAAAGAATGTTTGTACCATTTTTAAAGCTCCATTTGCATTGTTTACTACCTCACTAAACTGATTTTTATTTCTTAGATCCATCCATTTGACAACAGATAAAGGACTAATGAAAGCCAATGGAATAACTCTAAAATAAGTTAGGGAACTTAAAAAAAAGTTAAAATTAACAAATGGAAGCATTTTCAGTTCCCTGAATGAAGAAATGTCTTGCAGGAATTATCTCGCAGGAATACAAATTAGTAACAAACATGATTCTTTTGTAGGAATAATTCTGTAGTTGTAGGTTGAAACAACTTGGTTGTTTCACTATTCTATAGTTGCTGCCCTCTGTTGGTAAAAATGTAATTCACAGCCTTGTAAATCTCTTTCAAAAACTTTGCTGTCACCCAAGAGTAATAATTCTGCAAAGGCCTAATGTGAATTTGTAAGCTTTTGTTGGCGGCTTTGTGAAATTTCATGGTCTACACAGTGCCGAGGAAATTAAATCCCTGTTTATTTTGTTGATCTTGCAGAAATTCCAAGAACTCACTTTGAATATGAGAACAGGCTCACTATGAAGATGTTCCTGTTTCAGTTTGTCAACTATTACTCTTCATGCTTCTATGTGGCTTTCTTCAAAGGGAAATTTGTAGGATATCCTGGCTCTTATACATACATGTTTGGTCGCTGGAGAAATGAGGAGGTACATCTTTTTTTTAATGAATTGTGGAAGTAATTGTTGAGCACTTGCTTTAAAAATCAAAATGGTCAACATCAAAACTACGCATGTGTTACTGGCACATAACTCAGCCTCCCGTGATTTGACCAAGTCCTCTAACAAATTCTTATTGCCTGAGTTTCCCAACACAAGAACTGGCTAGCCTAAGTTCGACACAAGAATTGGCTAACTTAGCACTGAGCAGCTGATTTTTATCAATAGAGAGAGGGAGAAACATGGTTTGGACTTTCAGCACTGGCTGAAGCCTATACTGAGTGTAGTTGTGAAGCTCCATTTCCTTGACATTAATTGTGCAGTCATTCTTTGTTCAGCATTCCTGAGCCAAGCCCAGGTGGCATTCTTTTCTTAGTACTGGGAGTCTTTTAGGACAAAGCAGTCTTGCAAACCAATGCAAGCTACTCTCTGCTAAGAATTTGTTAAAAAACACAGATCGGTAGGATTTGTAATTTCCCTTTTTTGCTTTTCCTTAATCAGTGTGATCCTGCAGGATGTTTGATAGAACTGACGACCCAGCTTACCATTGTCATGGCCGGCAAACAGATCTGGGGCAACATCCAAGAGGCTATTGTGCCGTAAGTGTTGCATTAATGATGAGCCAGCTGCCTTGGAAAATAAGCGGAAGTTAATTGAATTCGGTCAGTGGGTTCATTTTTCAGTAAGTGCAGAGAAACACCGTGGACAGGCTAACCACAGGCATCCTGTGCACAAAGCACAAGCTCTTTCCCAGAGCAGCTGGAAATGGGCGTGATGATGGGGCTGATCCAGTCCACACAGCCCTCGCTTTCCTGTATTGCATGCACAATAGTGTGACTTAGCATGCCAAACTAGAGCCACCATGCTCCTGTTACCTGGATTTTCCCAGCCTTGTTATGATGGTCATATTTATTGGAGAAAAGGAACTGGTGCCCCATCGATGTGGGACTGGGTCTCCGCTGAAACATGCCCCATCCTGAGACTTCTGTTTTCCTAACTCGCAGCTGGATCTGGAATTGGTGGGGCCGTCGGAAAGCCAGGAGCAATCCAGAGAATTTATACAGTCGATGGGAGCAGGATTATGATCTGCAGACCTTTGGACCTTTGGGCTTATTCTATGAATACCTAGAAATGGGTGAGTACAAAGGGTGGTTGTGAAATACACAGCTTTCTGTCTGAATGGGGACAGGGTGCTGCTTTGCCTGCTTTTCTCCATGTTGAGTGAGGTTCGTGTGCAGGCATATCCCTCTTGGCTCAAGCGCTCTGAGCTTAGAGTGCTCCTGGGCAAGGCGTTCATTGTGCCTCTTTTGTGGAATATTATGGGATGGGTGTTTCTGATGAAGTCTTCATTTTGCTTCACTCCTGTTTTCCCTTGGTGTATCTGTCTTTTCTTACAAAGAAAAAATGAAACCTTGGAAGAAGAAAATGGAATGGTAGTACAATGCACTGCAATTGTTAGTGAAAGGAGCTCTCTCTCTTTCTCTCACTTCTTCTTTCTCTGGGAAGCACTTTAAGGACATGGGAGGACTGCAAGATATTCGGAATCTCCATTCCTAAAATTCCCCAAATGAAGCATTGTAACAGCATATATACACTCATACATATTGCAGCTGACCTGTCTAACATTAGGAATTGAAAAATCATTGATTTATTGTACATAGGACATAGAGCAGCTATATAATATCTGCAGAAAACACAAACATTTTCTGCAGTTCTGTTGCACTGTAAAGTTATCCATGTTTTCATATCTCTGTCTTGGCAAAGGAATCAAGCAACTTTAACAAGCATTCCAAACAAACTGATTTTGTGTGTGATAATATCCTTATCATATTCATATGGAGCAGAATTATGTGCTATACAGCGAAAGACGTATCTTTATTGTCAGAATATCCAAGGTGAAATATACATAGCAAAAGATACAAAGGCAGTGGCTGTCATGCTTAGATTTCACAGAGCAGCCAACAGGTGGCGCATGGCTGCCAACAGGAACACTTTTCTAAAACAGGGGACAGTCCCACTGGCTTATGCTTTGTTTGTTAAGAAGCCAAAAGCCTCAGAAAGAATGAAATAAGAGCAGTTCAAGCAAAGCTATTATAAATGTTGAAATCTAGGTTTGCCCTCAGTCATGATTCACAGTTTCAATAAGCTGCCACATATACAGTTTAAGCTGATAGCTAGTGGGGTGATAAGTCAAATTTGCATGGACATTCCATTTATTTGAAAGAGTAGCATTCTCATTTGCACAGGAATCATACTATGGCAACTTAAAAGTCAGCAATGAAGACATTTAAAAGAAGGAAATATTCTAAGACTTAGTCTTATTCCCTCTGGACACTGTACCCAGTGCTTCCTTGAGCCATCCTTCAGTAAGCAACTCTACACCACATTTTTCCCATTTAAAAATAAATTTTCACCTAGTGGAGTTTCCTTCTTTTCCATTAATTACCCTTTCAATGCACAGAAGTTACAAGAAAACAGTATCCCCATAGGCCAAAGTTGGGGCTGGAGAAACTCACTCCCACTTAGCACACCCAGACATACTGGACTGCAACACCCATCGTTTCTAGCCAGGGTGGCCATCGTCACCATGATCCAGATATCTAGGGCCAATTCAAGATGGAGAAATAGAAGAAGAGGAAAGAGGTGATAGTGAAGAGTGAAAAATATACCCATGCATAGCCATGGTTACAGTGCTGCCTGAGAAATGGGCTTGTGCAAAGGCTTCAAAGGAAAATGGGGTTTCCTTTTCTCTGTGGACTTTTTTTAAGGAACCAAATTTCAGTCTTATATCGAAATTAAATCTGGTCTGTTCCTCTTGCAAAATCAGTCTGTGCTTGTTTTATTAATTGGTAACTACTGCTTTTTTCCTGGACTGTTTTAACAGAATCACATACTTGCCTTTCTTTAGGAATATTTGCATATTGCCTTTTAAATTGCACCATGTGCTTATTCCTCTGTTTGTGTATGTTCTTGATAGCTCTTTACCTATTACCAGCTCAATTATAATTACACTTAGGTTTTGTTCAAAGTTTCACCTTTATTTTTCTCCTTTCCCCACAGTTATTCAGTTTGGATTCATTACCCTGTTTGTAGCCTCTTTTCCTTTGGCTCCTCTACTTGCTCTGATGAACAATATCTTGGAGATTCGTGTTGATTCATGGAAGCTTACAACACAGTTCAGAAGGCCCGTCGCAGCCAAAGCTCATAGCATAGGAATTTGGCAAGAAATCTTGAACTGGATGGCCGTCTTGTCTGTTGTCACAAATGTAAGTAAAAGATAATAGCAACAGTTTATTTCACTTCAGAAAAAGCAGATTGGAAGCACTTAGGGCATCTCCATGCTACAAACAGAGGACTAGATACATTGAACTTAATGGGACTTAAATTAGTCTAACACTGGATACAATAAAATGATGTACTGTTCATGTTCTACCTTAGAGAACCATGATAACTGTAGCTCTGAACAGTAGCCAATCCAGGAGAGGGACTTCCTGTGGCCCTTCAGATGTTGCTGAACTACAACTCCCATCATCTCCAACCATTGTTATGCTGGCTGAGCCTGCAGTCCAACACCATCTGGAGGGTTACAGATCATCAACCCCCAGGAGTAAATGATGTCATCCAATCAAATCCATTTTTACTGTAGGATCCCAATCCAGCTAAAGATTAGTGAGGCTTAAATTCTATTAGAAAATAAAATAATACAATATTGGTGGTTAAATCAAATCTCTTTGCTTCCTACTTGAGTTAAATTTAAGCACAAAGGTTGCCCTCAGACTGTGTCAACTCTTAGTGATCTCAGTCGTTTTTAGTTCATGTGCAGGCTTGTACTGGCAAATCAGTAAGATTAGAGTGAGGCTTGGAGAATGGCGGCAAGAGAAACAGCCTTCTCAGTGGTAGATACCCAGTTTGAAATTCTCTTCACACAGATTGTATAAAGAAACTGGACAGCCATCTGAGTGGGATAGTGTAACATGGTGTCCTGCAACAGCAGTGGGTTGGACTTGATGCCCTTCATGGCCCCTTCCAACTCTTCTATTCTATGATTCTATAAAGAGGATCACCTGGCATGAACATTTTCCTATTTTCTGCACTAGGTTAAGACTTTCCTCAATTCCCAGATGTGTGTTGTTTTATCCGATCCTGATATTATATTGTTAACTGTTTTCAGCTGTTTAAAACTGTTTCGACTTTCTTTATATTAAAGATATTATGCTTTCATTGTATTGTATTTTAGGTTTTAAGTTCTACGAGCTGCTGAGGGAGCTTTGGTTATTGGGCTTTATAGAAAAAAAAAAAAAAGGAAAAGTGAATGAAAGAATGACTGACTGAGTGAATGTCTGCTCCAGAATTTTGTTCATACTGTGGATAACCAGGTGCCTATAGGAAGCCTCTAAATAGTACATGAATAACTGGCATATGACTATATATTGCCCCTGACATTAGAGGTAATATATAGTTGTTATGACTAGTAGCCATTGAAAAGCAAAAATACCCTCCCAGTGAGAGACGTGCCGGGATGGGGTGGGGCATGGGGGAGGGGCCCTGCGGGCCACAAAGCACCGGTGGAGACCAGGCTGACCCCCGGGAGGCCCGGAGCCCGCATCGCCCGGACCTCGCCGCTGCTCCACTGCCCGCTGCTGCTGCTGTCCCCCCGCAGAGGCCAGGACCATCAGCCCAGGACCCTGCTCCGACCTGCTTCCCCTGGTGTGTGTGAGAGACGTGCCGGGACAGGAGGGGGCATGGGGGAGGGGCCTTGCGGGCCACAAAGCACCAGTGGCGTCCAAAGGATGGTCGCCGTTTGGGGGCCATTCGGGGGCCGAGCGGGGGGCTGGCCTGGCCAGGGGCTTTGGTCGTGGTTTGGTTTTATCTGTGGGCTAGCGATGGATTACAGTGGATTATGGTAGGATGTTTTTAATGGTTTTAATTGTTGGTTTTAGGTTGCTTTTAATTGGTGCATCTCGTGCTTTACTATGATGTCACCTGGGGAGCACGGGGGCGCCGCCGTCAGGGTGGTGATGGGCAATGGACGTTATGGCATTGGAGGTCTAACGGGTCAGCATAGAAGAAGGAGGGACAGATGGTTTACACCTGTCCCTCTTTCTGGTTATTCCCCCAGCCAGCGGGTTCCAGGTAGACTTGTCAACTGCCCCTCGGGCCTGACAGTGCTGTTGCTTAATGCCAGGTCGGTCCACAATAAATCGTCCCTCATCCACGACTTGATTGTGGATGAGGGGGCTGACCTGGCTTGTATCACAGAGACCTGGGCGGGTGGGGGGGGAATGCTTCCCTCTCACAACTGTGCCCGCCCAGGTACCTGGTTCAGCACCGACCACACCTGGAGGGGAGGGGAGGGGGGAGTCACTCTGGTTTATCAAGCTTCTATTTCCCTTATGGGGCTTCCTGTCCTCTCAAGGCCGGGGCTGGAGTGCCTCCACTTGGTGTTGGGCGACCGAGACAGATTGGGGATTCTGTTGGTGTACTGTGCACCCTTCTGCCCAACAGACTCCCTGCCTGAGCTGATGGAGATCGTCTCGGACCTGGTGTTGAAGACTCCCAGGATGTTGGTCCTGGGGGAATTCAGTCTCCATGCTGAGATGGTTCTAACCAGGGCAGTTCAGGACTTCATGGCCTCCATGACTGCCATGGGGCTGTCTCAACATGTCATTGGCCCAACCCATGAACGTGGACCCACTCTGGACCTGGTTTTCTCGACGGGCAGGAAGAGGGTGATCTGAGGGTGAGGAATTTAAGTTTGACGACCTTGTCATGGTCAGATCACTTCCTCATAAGGTTTGAGCTCGAGAGCGGCCTTTCCCTCTGTAAGGGTGCGGACCCGATTGTATTGGTCCGCCCCCGGAGCCGGATGGATCCTGATGGATTCCTGGAAGCTCTGGGGGATTTTCCAGTTGACAAGGCTGGTGATCCTGTCGATGCCCTGGTTGAACTGTGGAATGAGATGACCAGGACTAGTGACACGATCGCTCCCAAGCGTCCTCTCCCACCTGGCAGAGCCCATTCATCTCCTTGGTATACACCTGAATTATGGGCAATGAAGCAGGTTGGGAGACGTCTAGAGCATAGGTGGAGGAGATCACGGGGTGATTCTGACTGAACACACTTAAGTGCCCACTATCGGGCCTATGCTGTGGAGGTGAGGACAGCGAAGAAGAAATTCTTCTCCATGTCCATTGCTTCCTCACAATGCTGTCCGGCGGAGCTCTTTCGGGTGGTGCAGGGGCTGGTACATCCAGGCCCAAAGAAAGATCTTGTGCCACCCTCGAAGGCCCACTGTGACGACTTTGCCAAGCATTTCAGGGAGAAAATCACTCAAATTTTCCACGAGCTTGACTCTAGTATTGAACCAGATTCTACTGGGGAGATGCCATCGACACCGTTGAGTCCACAATTCATGGATGAATTTCAGTTGTTGCGGCCTGATGATGTAGACAAGGTGCTTGGACAAGTACGCCCTACCACCTGCTTACTAGACCCATGCTCATCCTGGCTACTTAAGAAAGCCAAGGATGGGATTGGGACCTCGATCCTGGAGGTGGTCAATGCCTCTTTAAGAGATGGCCAGGTACCTGCCCCTTTAAAGGAGGCAGTAGTCCGGCCAGTCCTAAAGAAGACATCCCTGGATCCAGAGGTGGCCGCCAATTATAGACCGGTGGCCAACATCCCGTTCCTGGGCAAGGTGCTAGAGCGGGTGGTGGCAGGACAACTCCAAGCACTCTTGGATGAAACTGATTATCTGGATCCATTTCAGTCCGACTTCAGACCCGGGTACGAAACTGAATCTGCCTTGGTTGCCCTGTACAATGACCTGTGCAGGGAGAGACACAGGGGGAGTGCGTCCCTGTTAGTTCTCCTGGACCTCTCAGCGGCTTTCAATACCATCGACCATGGTATCCTTCTGAATAGGCTAGCAGGATTGGGAGTTGGAGGCACCGCGTGGCGGTTGTTCTGCTCCTATCTCAACAGCCGATTTCAGAAGGTGGTGCTGGGGAACTATGGCTCTGTGCCATGACAGTTATGCCATGGAGTTCCACAGGGGTCCATTTGGTCCCCTTTGCTATTTAACATCTGCATGAAACTGCTGGGAGAGGTCATCAGGAGGTGTGGGCTGCAGAATCATCAGTACGCTGATGATACCCAGCTCTACCTCTTGTTTTCCACCAATTCAGGTGAGGCAGCAGCTGTGCTGAACCGGTGCCTGGCCAAGTTAATGGACTGGATGAAGGCCAATAAACTGAAGCTCAGTTCAGACAAGATGGAGGTCCTGTTGGTGGGTGGCTCAGACCTCGGGATGGGGGACTTGGGCCTTATCCTAAATGGGGTTGGACTCCCTCTGAGGGACAGGGTTCACAGCTTAGGAGTGCTCCTCGACCCTGAGCTGTCTCTAGAAGCTCAGGTGACGGCAGTGGCGAGGAGTGCCTTCCTTCAGCTTCGGCTGATAGATCAGCTGCATCCCTTCCTGGAGTACGACTGCCTGGCGACAGTGACACACGTGTTGGTGACTTCCCGATTAGATTTCTGTAATGCGCTCTACATGAGGCTACCTTGAAGACAGTCCAGATACTTCAGTTGGTGCAAAATAGAGCTGCCAGGTTGCTGACGGGGACTGGGCGTTGTTCTCATATAACCCCAGTTCTCCGTCAGCTCCACTGGCTCCCGATTGAAGTCTGGGCCCAATTCAAGGTGTTGGTTATGACCTATAAAGCCCTAAACAGCTTGGGATCTGGATATCCAAAGGAACACTTACGTCCATATATGCCCTCCCGCCCCTTCAGATCAGCAACATATGTCCTTCTCCGGGAACCCTCTGTGAATGATATTAGGAGGGTGAGTACCCAGAGGAGAGCTTTCTCTGCAGTGGTGCCCCATCTATGGAATGCGCTCCCCAGAGAGGTCCTCCTGGTGCCGTCGTTATTTGTTTTTCGGCGCCAGGCTAAGACCTTTTTATTTAAAACTTATTTTAAATGTTAAATTATTTGTATTTTTAGGATTTTAAATTTTTAGCCGAGATGCACCGGGGGTTTTAAATATTTTTTTTATTGTTATATTGTTATTTATTTATGTATTTTGTACTGTTGTGAGCCGCCCCTTGGCTTCATTGCGATGGGGGTGGCATAAAAATGTTTTAAATAAATAAATAAAATACGAGTTATTTTCCAAATATGAACTTTAAAATAAGATTTTAGGCCATCTGTGGCTGACATGGGCATATGTGGGCAACAAAGGCAGTCAAATTTTTGAGGGTTCTGTGTCTTGTGAACTTAACTAAAGAACTAGTATAGGCAATGTAAGGAAAATACAAATTACCTTTTGTCAAATTACCTCTTTTCAAAGTGTTATTAAAGTCTTCATTCACAGAAAATATAAATACATATTTAGTGTAATATTTAGCACAATTTCCTTCCTGCAGGCATTCATTGTAGCCTTCACATCTGATATGATTCCTCGTTTGGTTTACTATTATGCCTATTCTGATAATCCGAATTCACCAATGACTGGATACATCAACGACAGCCTCTCCATATTCCAAATCTCAGATTTTCCTCCGGAAAACCAACCTGACAGAGACCCAGTCAACTTTAGCACATGCAGGTTAGTTGTAATTGATCTCATTGACATGATACCCAGGTTCCATTTAGATGCCAGGAAGCACTTCCTGACGGTTAGGACCCCGAGGGTGTGGAATGGGTTTCCACGAGAGGTTGTTGAGGCCCCATCGCTGCGGGTGTTCAAGGATAGGCTGGACATGCACATGGTGGGCATGTCGTGAGCAGAGCCGGCTGGTGCCGGAGGTCAGACTAGATGACCTGGGAGATCCCTTCTGACTCGCTCTGTTTCTATGTTTCTATATGTTTCTATGATATGCCTAGGCTTCCTGAATAAATCAATTTGATTTATATTACTTTGAGTGATATTCAAATCTTAACCTACATTCTTCTGCTGCCTTACAAAAGAGGGAGGGACCTTCTATAGCTATCAGAATTAATATTTGTCTTCTATTTAAGGTGTTTTAGGGAATGTAATTCAGTGTCACCTTGCAGACATTGTACAAATAAACAGGACAATCACCTAAAATGATGCAGAGAAGCCACAAAACAGCCAGTGCTGTGGAAGAAAAGAAGTGCGATGATTCTAGACTTTCATCAGCTTAGAGTCAATCCTGTGCTGTTCCAGGCAGAATTAAGTTCTACAACTCCCTGCTTTCCCCATGCAACCCGCCCCCCGCCCTACAGCACCAAATAACATGAGGGGAGGAGAAACACGAGATTATACCATTCTTTATGTACATGTCACTAGGAAAGGAAGGGAAATTTGACACAGAATTGTACTTTCCAGTGGTAATCATATGATATATTCCACCTAGATTTGACCTAACTTCAAATGCAAGCAACCATTTTCTGTATTGTGCAGTGATCAGTGTCCATATAGAAAGATCCATGTATAAACTTCTCCCAGGAACAGATCCATCCTCTCATCATCTCCATGCTTACCCTTCCAACATGCCTGTCAAACTTAGGGGCGCATGTGAGGCAGTCGGAATACCAGTTCACAAGGTTCTAGCCAGTTTTTCATTCAGCGTGCATAGACTGCATTTCTCTGCATTGGGCGGAGAAATCTGTCCTAAAAACTTGTTTCTTTTCCAAGTGTCTGTTTGTACCATTAAATCTTTAGAGGTTTGCTCTGAGCCCATTTCTGACATTATGTTCTGTCTCTATTCTCCATGATTTATGCTCCCCATGTACTTTACAGTGCGACCGAAACATCGCCTTATGACAATTGTGTTCTTTATGTACATCGTTCTGCTAGCAGTCCTCCCAGCCTGCTTTTGTGAGGAACAAGCAAATGAGAGACACGAACCTGTTACAAGAACCTTGTCCTTAAAATAAATAAATAAGTTGAAACATTAAGGTGGAGATCAAAAGTTGTCTTAAGTGACAGCTGTACTTGACTGTAAATGCCACAGAGCTTGTAATCTGTCTCCACTTGAGCACAGCCCTTCACCTTTACGTATTTGTATTCAACAGGTACAGGGACTATCGATATCCACCAGACCATGAGAAGAAATACGCACACACAATGCAGTTCTGGCATATTCTGGCTGCAAAGATGGCCTTTATCATCATCATGGAGGTAAGTCCCCTTCTTATCTCCAGAAATCAATAAGCCAGCATGTCAGTGCGGAGTTACTGCAGCTTTAATGTTGGGCAATCGAGCTCTTGAAGATACAAATGTCTCTTAGTGGAACTAGATGCCTAAAAAATGAATAAAGTGTAGAGTAATGATTTGAAATTAGGGGAAACATGCACTGAACACAAGTAGTACATCAGAGTCCAGAATCAGCTATAATTTATGTATATACAGGTTAGCAAATCAATGTAGAATTCACAAGCTTTTCACCAAGTTTGTTGTGGTAAGAATAATTATTATAGGGATAATCATACAGTGCTAAATACTACGTAAAAGCTGATGCCAGTGCAAAGACAGCCTTGGTTACCTTACAGTTAAATCTTTTTTGTGAATGCGTGGTGTCATTTTTGGCTACATAAGAACTGGCTGGTAGTATGTATGAGAGTATATTTTATTATTATTATTATTATTATTATTATTATTATTATTATTATTATTATAGCATTTCTATGCCGCCCCTTGCCGAAACCTCGGGGCGGCTTACAACATGATAAAATACATTGAAATACAATAGTACATAATAAATTACCATTAAATATAACAATACAAAAAATACATTGATTTACAAATACAAAATTAAAATTATCAGTATAAAATAAAAATATAGGAGGAGAAAGAGAAGGAAGAAGAAGTTGCCCAGGCCAGATCATATGTTTTAACAATTGAAATGATGTTTAAATAAAAAGGTCTTTACCTGGCGCCGAAAAACCAGTAACGACGGTGCCAGGCGGACCTCTTTGGGGAGTGAATTCCATAGGTTGGGCGCCACCGCAGAGAAAGCCCTCCTCCGGGTACTTACTCTCCTAATTTCTTTCATGGAGGGTTCCCGGAGAAGGGACTCTCCCGCAGATCTCAAAGGGCGGTCGGTTGAAACATGACATTTTTATGCTGAGATCACTCTTGGGATCTGTTGTAACAAAAATTACTGTGCATGAACTTAGCTTTCTATATGTAAGTACGCTATATTTGTGACTGGAGAAGACAGTCACGACAAGTGTACCACTGAGTTTTGCCAACTCACTGTTACACCAAAACTACGGCATTAAACATTACCTTACTCTGGTGTCACTGAAGTGATTAGTCTTCCCTAGGCCCAAATACACAACACAAATGCTTGCAATAAGAAGGCAAAAATGATTTTCTAATTCCTTCATCCTTGTTTTTCTGTTCCCTGCCTACATTGTAGCATGTTGTCTTTATCGTCAAATTCTTTGTGGCTTGGATGATTCCTGATGTCCCAGCTGAGGTGAAAGCCAAAATAAAACGAGAGAAGTACTTAACACAAAAAATCCTACACGAGTATGAACTCAATAAACTCAAGCAAAAACTGTGTGAAGGGAGGACTGATGCCAGCATGGAGAAAGAGGTCATAGCCACGGAAGGGAAAGTGGAGTTGTCTGAAGTCATGTGATCTGAGAAGAGGCCAGGCTGTCTGCCTGGAATTCCAGCCTGTGAAGGCAGTTGTTGGCAGTGTGCGATGAGCCAGCTCCTCCCTGTGCTGTGAAAGTTGTCTGGTATTTTTAACCAATTTCCTTCTGGACTTAAAAAATGTAATCAAGCAAATGGTAAGAGAGAGCATGGAATGGCTGTCGAGGCAATCAGTGAGCCCGACCTTTCCGGTTGCATATGTTGCTGCTACATAACTTTGAAAAACCAACTCCGGCTCATGGTGCCACCATGTCTCTTGCACTGCATTTGCATTGCAATTATCTTAAATGTGTTTGTAATAAGTAGCCCCTGAGTCCAGCAGTGACTCAAACTGCAGCCTCCAAAATGTGATCAAGGTTCCTTAACGAAGTTCAGGCAGTTTCTGTGGAGCACATAAACTCCTTGTTCCCCAGCCTAGATTTCATGTGCACATATGTGTCATTGAGTTGATAAGGCCAAAAAACTCATGTGCGGTCCTCCCATTTGTTGACTAGTGATGCTGGAGCCAAAAGGGTATTAGATACACTAGAAACTGAACTGCCTATCTACTTATCATATTTAACCTTGGTGAGGCAGAAAGGGCTTACTTTGTACAGCAAGTACAGACATCTCTTGAGAAGCCTTTACTAAAAGGCACTCTTAACAGACAAATTAAAAGCAAATGCTGATTTTGGCAAATCAGATGCCTTGCTTGGTATTAAAGAAACACTAGTCTGTAATTCACTACTTGCTTCTAGTGGCACACCATTTTCTAGTGTTGACTTAATCATGGATTTGCACATTTGATACTTGGAACATTACTTGGAAAATCTTACACATATCATAAGGGTACATTTCTGCCATACATAACTGTACCTCCAAATGCATCTTGAGGTATTTAGGGTATTTTGTATGTCATTTTTAAGGTGCAATAATCCAATTGTAGACTAGCAGAACATGAACTGTAGTACTGAATTTTATATTTCACAGTTCATACTTAACAAAAATCCAAACCTAGATATACATTTGCATAATTTATTCTTATGCTAATCATTTCCATCAGGTAAACTTTCTCTAAAGTAAATGTTACAGAAGGAAAGTTTATGAAGTTAAATTGCTTCAGGATTATAGACATGTTTTGCTATTTTACCTTAGGGTTTGCAAAGAACTGATTTTAAAAGATGCAACTGTTTTATGAAATAGTGGAAGTGAACGGTGCAGGATTATTTAAGAAATCAATACAGTATTGATTTGAAAGCATATTTGGTAAAGGATGGAATGTAACCATTAACTAAATTGGTTGGTTAGGATTTTGAGTTCTTGTTCCAAAAAATGGTTAAAATAGTTTATGTATTCAAAGGCTTTAAAGAAGTAATGTACAGGGCCATAAACTGTAAACAAAGCCATCTGTTGTGTGAATGCCTTAATAGCAGATCAATTCATGTTTGTACAGAATATACATTATTAATATAGAATGAATAAAACTTTATGTATAGCCATATATCTAGGAACTGCCCCCCCATAAAGAAACTTTGGTGGGTTTTTTAATATTGCCAAGAAACAAACCATTTCCTTTTCTTCCCCTTGAGAATTCATCAGATTTATAAAGTCTACTTAGCATAGGCTGTGCATGCAAACTGAGCTAGAAGCCTTTAACAGGCAATGCCCTTGTTTTGCTAAATAATTTTAAGTAACTACAAGTATTTTTGAAGTTTTGTCATATTTTTATAGCCAAGACTACTGTATCCTGCTTAGTGCCTTGTTCATATGCATGGGGAAGAAAACAATGTGAAAAAGCTAATAGTGTAAATTACATAGCATAACATATCTTGTAAGTGAATTCACAGGTATCATGAAAGTATCAGCTTTGATCCTAAAGCGTGGGCAGCAGGAGCTGGTCAATGCAGAAGCAAGTTTTGCAAACTTCCAAGTTGGGTCTGTGCAAAAAAATAAAAGAAAAGCATTTTCTGACTTCCCTCACTCCAAATGAAGCATGTTGGATGTTGCAATATTACATGATGTTGAAGTACTTGCACTTTGAGAGTTATGCTTGACTGTTGAGTATTGAAACAAAATCCCAGTCTGTGTCTTGCATGTGAGCCAGAGAATATGTTTCTTGATATATTTGTATGTTTTGGTTCTATTTCTAATGACATAAGAGCAAATTGTCTCCTCTGAAACACTACTGTAAAATATCCCAGTTAATGATATCCAAGTTAAGGACTCTTTTTTCAAAGGAACAATGTTTGCATGATTGGTGGACATAGCCGGAGCCCTAGGCTTCTGGGTAAGATGCCTAGATTAGATCCACAATATCTGTCTCCAATGGGGAGAAAATTCTTGTGAAAGCTTATCAAGAAAACTGTGAGATATGACATCACATACTGTTCCAGCAGAGAAGTTCAGCGTGAATATCTAGGCACCAGAAATCCTGTTTATGTAGTTTAGTTTGCCCAACTTTCAATGAAGTTCACCTAATTTAATAGGCATCAATGTTTCAGGTCCAAACATCAAAGAGAAGCTACTCTGCCAGAAGAAACAGAGGTTCCTGCTAAAGCAACCTTTTAGGGGTATATGTTCATTTGACAGTCTGAAAAACTGTCTTGGGTTCCACCACAAAATTGTTGCCAGAAGAGATATGGCAAAGGACAAATAATCTACCCAAAGAGAGTGGAGGGTGGATCTGAGGTATCAGTTGTGCTGGTGAAACTCAGTTTTACTGTGTTACCATATCTAATTGGCCCTTTCCATAAAGAGGCATCTTTAAAAGTTTCAGTACTCTATATGTTATACTACTTAATAGGATAATCCAGCTGCCTTGTGCCTATAATAGCAGGTTATCGGTCACCATTTGTTGTTCCCCTTTTCTGTGCAGATATTGTAAAGGTCCATGCACAATACCTGGAGTTATATAGCAAGTTTGGGGAGACATGTGACAGTTGTTGACTAGCTCACACTGAGGACTAAATTTGACATCCTTCTCAGATTTTAAATCAAAATCTTTCTGTCATTTCAAATGGTCTAACTTACTTTTGCTTACTATTTGTGTTGAGTTCAGTTTGCTAAAACACCATCATATGATTGCAGAAGTGCAACACAACTGAGCTTTAAAAGTATATACTGTATGCATTTAGAATGCCAAAGAGGTATAGCAGTCACCAAAAATAGATATGTAGTCAAAACAGAAAGAAAAAGAAAGCTTTATCAAGCATCATTCTGCTGCTACTTTTCAAGGGTTCTTATGGATGGTGAATGTGTACTGTTTATATTCTTTTTTTACTTAATCTAAGATTTTGCATTAAACAGGGCAGTAAACGTGTGACTAAAGATGATTGACATCAAAGTTCCATGTTAACAGGTTTATTAGTTCTTCTTGATACAAAACTGCCCTCTGTATCAAACTCACCTGATATCATATATTTTGTTGTTCTGCTTTGGTTTTTTTAGCTTGCTGCACACATTTTCAGTTGTATAAAGTCAATTAAAATAAATAGGGAAATTTGGAGTGGAAGAATGGGTGCAGCACAAAGGGAACAAATGTGTCCACTCTGTGTTTTAGTTTCACAAGTCCAACCAAAAAGTAGATTTTGCAAAAGTGTTTTTAGTTATCATGCCCTCCACCCAGGGCCACTTTTGCTAGAGGGATAAAGGACATGCTGTTTTTTAAGGAGTGCTATGCAGGTAACTCGGAGCTGCTGCTACCTGGGGAGCCTATGGGGCAAGTCCTAGATACATGCAGTGATCTCAGCTTCTGATGCACACTTCTAAACACACCATCAGCCATGCAGCATTTCCCATAATCTCTCTGGTTTTGCAGCCCTAGGCAAGGAACAGAAAGACGAGTCCTTAGGACTTTGCATTTTTGGAACCTGTATAGCTGGGGGTTCATTTGAAGAGCTGCATTATACAGGTGTGTACAGGTGTGGGCTTGCACCCTCTCTTCCATTTTCCTGTGCAATTCCCTTTTAAGCAATTATTTAAAGTTGTTGTATGGTAGCATTGAGCATTTTATTCATTTGCTGTAAATTGTAAACAAAGTCAATTATGTCAATAAATATATGATAAATATGGGTTCCTTTGAATGGGGTTTAATCCCAAGCACACTTCACAGAATTGCAGATTTTAGTGATACATTCTAAGTCCCAGTTATGCAAATGTGCGTTCTGTTAACATTGAGAAGAAAAGTTGCCTATTGGTGGCCTGGGTGGCAGCAGTGTTGCTCACTTCCTAGCAGTTGTGTACATAGATGTGTTAACCAAGCAGTGTTACCAAATAGGGATGCTTCATTCTAGGTTGAATTAATCCATGTTGTTGGATTTAAGGAGGACCCTTGTGCCTTGCAATACCCAGCAACTCACTTTTATCAGGGAAGACCAAGGAAGGGCGTAGAAGATGCTTATGTATCCCCCTTCCTCCTGTCTAAGCAATGCAATTTCAGAGGCCCACAAGTGCCTGACACTTCTCTAGCCTTTGTGTTCGTCACAACACCAAGGTGTTGCTTGCCCTTTTAATCTTTCTGTCGTCTTTCCATATCCTCTTTCCCATATATGCCCCCCTCTTCTTCCTACTTGTGTTGGTGGCAGTCAGCTATTTCTATATCATATTTGAACAGGACTTGGTGGTTTCCTTCCTTTTAGGACTGAAACAAGGCCATTTAAAGCATAAAAGCAGACTTACCTTCTTCTGGTCATATATTCAGGCCTCACTGGGGACTGGATGCATTGATAACATTTCCCTGATGCACATGACAATCATAATTTCAGTGTTTTCTGTGATTCCTTAATGACTAGAAAGCTTTTAAAATAAAAGTTGTGCTTTTAAAAATCACCTCCAAATTTTCTTGTGGCTCCAGACTTTGACATTTCCCCCCCAGTACATATAAAGGGATGTGCAATGCAATTCTATACATTTGCACTGAGAAGTAAACCTATTTGTAAATGGTATTTACTCTCTTGCATCTCTACCATTTCAGCCACCAGCTCCAGTGCAAAGATTCTTATGTACATCAGTGGGCTGTGCACAAAAGGAGCATAAGAGCATCAGCCAACATGTGTCTCCTGAACAAATAACGCTTTCACTACACTCCTAAACATGTGATTGGCAACCTGTCTTGCATACACTGCCTATATATGTAGTTCCAACCTAATAACCACAGTTATGTGGGATTACTGGTGCTAGATGCAGAGTCTCTCAGGCATCAGCTTACTGCTGGAGTGATAGATTCATTGCTATTTAAAAATTCTTCAAATCACCATATATATTTTATTTATTAGTTTTGTACCCCACTTTTTCTTATAACAAACTCCAAGTCGCTTACATTGTTTCCCTCCTCCTGTTTTCTAAATCTTAGCCCCAAAACAACCACCCTGTGCGGTAGGTTGGGCTAAGAGTCTGTGACTGGCCCAAAGTCACCCAATTGGCTCTGTGGCTGAGCGGGGACTAGAACCCAGATCATCTGAGTCCCAGTCCCATGCTCTTAACCACTACACTGCACTGGCTTTCTGATTATATGTAATACCTTGATCTGGAATTATGTGGAATTAAAGGAATCACAGTTTGTGTGGTACTTCTTTTTCACTGCAAATATGTGTAGATAATGGGGCAATATTGAACATGTGGAGTGTGATCAAGGATTTCTCCCAAAATTTATTATAAAATGTTAGTCTGCATTGAACCCAAAGCATAACAGTACCATTTTGTATTGTGCTGATCATGAAACTTGCTGATGGGGTTCTTGGGGAAAAAGAGGCGAAACATGTTTGTTTGTTCATTCAAGTCTGTTCAACTTCTGTCATGTAAATATACTGGTCTGTCAGACCGATGATCTTCACATTGGTGTGTGCAATACACTGATGCTGGGATTTTTTTTAATTTTCATTGTTTTGGAAGAAAAACATGTTGAAGTCAACTAACTGATAATATGCTTCAAAATGTGTCTACAGATGAATTGGTGTTTATTTTTAAAGTGCTTTGTTAATTGCAAATGTATTCAAACCAGTTTTGTGAAATGCTGACTGTCCATAAATTAAAGATTTTGTTTACAACCACGGTTCGTTGCAGTTCAGCCAGTGGCTGGGTTATGCAGGCTTCCATTATTGGCATCTGTTTTCAGAGCTTCTCTACCAGCTTGCTTGACTGCCCAGTTTTTAAACCTATGCTTGAATATGGATTCAGGACTTTTCTGAAGGAGTGGAGCACATCTAAACTGGACTTTCCCTTTCCCTGGATGCACCCAGAAATCTCTTTATTACCACAATTGTAGCTTCACAGTTTCCCCTCCAAGGAAGCCAAGTTGGACTACAGGAGCCTCTTCCTCTCCATTTTATCCTCTCAAAATCCCTGCAAGGTAGGCTAAACTAAAAGTCAGTGACTGGCCCAGGGTTACCCATGGCTAAATCCTATCTGGCTGCCAGTAACCTGGTGCACTGGGAAAGTTGCAGGCATCCATTCAAACATTAAAGAGACACAGAGGCCTCCATGCTCTCCTTACCCTCAAAACCACTTGGCTGGCTAGTTCGGAACATCAAATTGCTCTCCTTGCAAGGCAGAGGCAACGAGGCAGTGCCTAGAATCAGCCTTACTCCTTCCCATCCCCCGGAATCCCCCCCCCCCATGCCTTTCCCAAAGACAGTGTCCCAGTTGGAGGTTTAGCTGATGCAGAAAGAATTGTGCCCACTGAAAGGGCAGAGTTCAGAGCAGAGTCCCCACTGCAAATGGGCTTTTTTAGGTCACAGTGGGGAGTCTGCCTTTTCCTGGGCTGGCTGGAGAATGTCTCCCAGACGTAGGATTGGGCCCCCAGTGAGTTTCATGGCTCAGTTGGGATGTGAGCCTGAATTTCCCAAGCCCCAGTCCAGCAGTAACTACTGCTCCACACTGCCACTGCCTTTATGTCTCTCTCCAGGTTTTGGGGTAGTAGAGATGAACTATGATGTTGCAGTGCCTTTCCCTTATTGCCATGTTTACCCATGATCCCTGGGAAAAAAACTCTAAGCTTTGATCATATGAACAAGTCCATGAAAGTAAAAGGAGACCAATGAGTGACCTCTAGCATTTCTGCCAGTTTATGGCACTGTGTTGAAAAAAGCCACCCCTGCCCTCAGCTTTCATAATCATCACCTTGCATTCAAGGGCTTTCCTTCTGGGCCAATATTTGCCAATGTGTTCTAGAACGGCCTTCCAGTTTTGGCAATGCAGACTTGTGATGATGGGAGTCTTCATCCAAGATCCATCTGAAGGCACCAGGTAGAAGGAGGCTATTCCAGATAGTACAAGCTGCCATACCTTGGTGACACCCATATCTGAGTGAAGCATCCCCAGACATTCCAGTATTCTTTCTTCTCCTGCATCAGATTTAATCAAAGAGCAGGAAAAATAAGCTCATTTCAGAGGGGAAGAAGCAGAGCCTGAATAGGGATTGGGTTGTCTCTGTGGCCAGGGGTAGAACTTGAAATCCAGTGCGGTGTGCTACTTCAAGTCTGAATAGAGGCACCTCTCTCCTTGCCTGGAATATGGAGCAGAGAAAAGACATTACTAAGTGTAGCTTTCCCCATAGTAGCTCAGGGAAATGGTGAACACTAGTTTAGCATGTGAGACTACACAGACATAAGGAAAAGAACAAATCAATAATGCAGTGTCCTGAAAATCTACAGAGAGACTAGTACTGGGCTCATAGGTTTTAATTCATTTTTAATATAGTCCAGATACCTTTTTAAAATGCAGTCCATTTCCAAGTGATTCCAGGAATACAAGAAATGATCTCAGTGCATTGCATAATACTTTAAATGTATGCTAATGAAATTCAATCAAAGGGTTGAGCAGGACCTCTAGGTGAAGTTGATGCACTTTAGAAGATTTTGAATCGATATTAGGCAAATTAAAGTAATGGTCGCCCAATTAGAGAAAGAGGTTATGCACATTGTACTTAATGGGGATTGCAAATCCAATTTAGAGCAAAACAATTGACATTTTACATGGTGCAGAGGTCGATCATGCTCACATTCTTGCAACAAGCTTTTTCTACACCAGATTCTCTCTGTGTGAATTGCACTTCTTTGGATCTTACTCTCCTTCCAACGGAGGTTCCTGACAAATCTCCATAACAGATCACCCATTCCACAACTGTGGCTCCATCAAGCCCAGAAAGGAAACTCAACATTGTGGGTCTCTTGATTCCTATGTCTTTGTTATCTGCTGCCTCCTAAAGCCCTTCACTCTCTATCCTGGCAATTCATTCCCCTGGGACTGCCTGTCCCTGCTTCAATTCCTCATCCTACTTGGTCCAAGCTGAGCAATGATGACGGCTTCCCCTTGAGCCTTCAGAGACAGAAGCAGTGGGGTGGAGGCAACAGCGGGGCTGGAGGACAGGGAGAATCTCTCTGTTTCCCTGTGGCACTTAAATTGCCTTGTCAGTTCTGCTTGAAGCGAGGAATCCAAGATGGTCCTATGCAGTGCTTTTCTTGGACCAGCTTTTCAGCTTTGTCTGCAGAGGTGCCTTCACACCAGGAAGCTCTGATGAGCCTCAGCTCCCCAGCATATGTCCACTGAGTGCTCTGCAGTTCTGTCCTTGATGAGGAATTTGCTGTAAGTCGTGGCAGGAGATGTAATGGAAGCACCAAGCACCAAGGCTGGAGCTGTTCCTGTAAACACTGCATAGAAGTGCTGGTGTGAGAGAGGGAGGGAGGGGGTGATTGTGAGGAGAATGTAGAATAAGACAATGTAGTAGTCATAGTCCAGAAAGGGAAACCAGCATAAATTCCTGAAGCATCTTTTGTTGCTACTTGAATACAGTTCTCGGAAGCAGTTCCTTATTCATGCATCTTTCAAAAACACAGTAAACATCCTGGGTGGAACCCAGATTTAGATAGGAACCACTGTGCTTGAAGAAATGGATCCCACCTCTCTATGCCTCCCTCCAGTCCCTGGAAATGCCACATAGAAGGCTGGGGGAAGATGGATCCTGAATCCAATTCATTAAAGGATTAAGGAAGTCCTTAAAAGAAATGGGTTGTTTTGACTGAATGCATTCTATTTTGATTGCAATTGATCCAGGTTATGCTTTCTCTGTGTCATCTAATCAGATGTGCCTTGAGCTAAGTGCTTCTGAGAACATGCTTAATCTCCACCAGGCAAAAACTTCTTCAGGTAAGCATTGGCAACATGATTTTCTTCTGTGAACAGAAAACTTCCCCACTGCGTGATTATTGGAAGCTGCAGTGCAGTGCCTCACTTGCCATCTGCCCATCCAGAGAAGTCCTGAGATGCAGTGGTAGGTTAGCCAAACTGAGTCAGGGAGACTTGGACTCTCTTCTAGTGCAACACTCAGAGGGCTGCAATGGATGAGTGTAGGACTTTAGTTCTGGGTACAAAGTGAGTCATTAGTTTATTTGTAAAATACATGCATAAGCAGCATACAATGGATAAGCAGCAATTCGAAAGAAAAAAATTGTTCACTCCATTTTTAGCCCTCATGGTACTCTTGATCTGTTTTATATTCACAACAACCCTGTGAGGTAGCTTACACCAAGAGTCAGTGCCTGACCCAAACTCACCGAATGCACTTAATGGCCAATTGGGAATGTGAAGCCAGATCTCATCACCTGCGGTCCAATGCTCTAAGCATCACCACACTGGTCCACCACGAGGAAGTCGCCATCCCGACTCTTGCAGAGTTGTGAAGACAAAAGGACGGTTTCAGTTGGCTCCTCTTTGCAGTAACTGGGAAGGCAAAACACCCTTGAATTGTTTCTGAACGCATCCTTCAAAATCACACTGACAAAGTCCATGCTTGTTAGGAGTGGGATGGGATCACAAGTATGGATCTGTTGGCATTCACAGCATGAAGCCTTCACAGCAACATGGGGCTTCAGGAGCTCCGCTTGGCAAACTGCAGCCCTGTGTCATGCCACAGCATGCACACGGACACAATACTAGTGCACACAACCACACTAGCTGGGGTAAAGCAGTTTATGACCTGTACAGCCCTATACAGATTGGGTTCAGGCTATCTGAAAGATCCTATGCTCCCAGTTGAGCCTGCCTCAAGATCTTCTGGAGAGGCCCTTCCCTTGGTTCCCACCACCTGCCCCGACATGCTTGGAGGCTTGGTTGGTGCTTTCCCTGTTAAACTTCTGAAAGCAGGCAAACCCCTTTTAATTCCAGTAAGCATTTCAGAAGGACCTGTGAGTTTGCTGTTTATATTTTTGTAGTGTTTTAATCTGGGTGTTTGTTCAACTGTAATATTTAATTGATATTATATTTTTAACTTTTTGTATGTTTTTGAATGTTTGACTTGTATGAAATTTAATGTTGTGAGCCCTCTCGACTCCCAATCATTGAGAATAAGTGGAATATAAATAATATAATAAATAAACTTGGCTCCAATTGGTTCTCATTTTGCATTTTTCAATTTTGGCTAATGGCCTAAGCAATGAATAAATTTCAGGCCTGACCTGTAATATCCTAAATGCCTGGCCACCCTAGAGATGTCCTCCCTTATGGCTTTCTTTGAAATGGAATATGATACAACCAATACTTGAATTTATGGGTTGTTACTTTTGGCTTTTTGCATTTCAGTGGTGTTGCCGTACGTTCAGAAGTACAGGTGACATGACACATCTAGCAGTTTCATCTCAAATGGGAGCTGGTGATTTACAGAACTAATGGTTCTTTATTGCCCATTCAAGTGCAAGCCACCCCAAATACTTGGAGTTACAATAGGGACAGCTCACAACAATATATTATTGGCAGAAAAAAAAATAATGTATCCCTGCAGCTGCAGTGAGAACTGCAGGTAACCTCAAGATCAGGGATGCACAGAGAGTGGAGGCAGGGAGCCATTGACATTATCATCGCTGCTGGTTTTTTTTAAAAAGTCAGTGCTGTATCTTTTAGAGCCTGGTTTTGCTACATCACTGATCAGAGAACAACTCCCATCATCCCTTTTAGAATTCAAGACATTTGAATGTATTTCTATGCATCTGACCTTCAGGTTAAGCAATGGACTGGCTTTATCTGAGCTACATGGATTCCACAGTTGTGTGACCCAGCT